TCCCTACAGCTTGATTCTGTAAGGTACTGATAATTCTGATCCTGAACAAACAAGAAGCTGAAACACATGCTTAACTTAAGTACTGACTTCAGTCAAACAATTCACATGCTTCAGTGAGTTGCTGGAGTAAGTGTTCAGCCTCTGGTCAGATTGAGATGCTGAAGTTCCCCAGCATGCACAGGAACTGTTCTCTCTGTCTCTGGATATTTTTCACCTTGGTCTAGCAACCTGTTTCAAGGTCCAATGCAGTGAGAATTGGAAACTTAGCCCCCTACTACTCCACCCTGCCCCATTTGGGGCAGTTTGGTCACCAACAGAGATGTGGTCAGGCAGTCTTTTCCCTACCACTCAAGCACCAAAATAGGGGATTATTTATTATTTGCTGTTCATGCATATATTCATTATTAATTAATCTTGATTAACATTAATAATTTAATGTCTGTTGTTATTCTTAGATTATTTCTGCATGCAGCAAAACATTTTGGAATTCATTTTTTACTGCAGGTTATTTTCTGTAATTTTCAGCAAAAAATGTTGGGAAACAATTTGTGTGGGTGTCTAGTTTTATGTACACTTTACTTTTCCTATACAGCAACTTTGATGTGTCTCGTCCTGGTAAAATGTCTGCCATGTATCACTGCCTAAACAAGCAACATCTGCCTCTTTCTAAACCCAAAACATCATGAAACTAACAGATATAAATGTGTATTATTGATCAAGAAGTAGATGATTAGAAGAGAATTGCAGTTCTGAACTGAGGATCTTAATAAATTAATAAAGCTAGATAAGCTGTAATTAGTAAATATCACTGGCAGTTTTTATAGTTTCAGATGCTTTGGAATTTGTAAAATATCTCTTAATCCTGGACTGCATCAGTTCCTTCTTTCATGATATATACTAGGGCTGTGCAAAATTTTGATGGGTGCTTCATTTTGAAGCTGTTTTGATGTGTTTCAAGCTTGAAACAGTGAAATTGAAATGAAACAAAAGGCTTCAAAACAGCTTTGAAATGAAATGAGGGCACTCAAAATGTTTCGGAAGTTTCAAAATGTTTTGAGTTTTGAAGCTGGGCTTGCTGCAGCTAAACAGAAACTAAGGAGAGGGAAGGGGAAAAGGGGGGAAGGACTGCTCTCTGATATTGATATCTAGCTCCCTGTTCGATTCCCCACCTCTCTGATCACTTCCCCCAGCTCTCTGATCACTTCCCCAGCTCTTTCTGGGGGACACAGGCACCCAAGCTGCACACAGGATTTTAGCAGGCTGCCGCTGAAACTGCAG